TGTTAAGTAACCAGGTTAGTACATATTTTCTTTCAAAAGAGAAGAGTACATAATATACCTAGGTACATGTACAGTTATAGAATAAACAGATTGTGCTATCTAAATAAATCCTAGTGGGAACCGTTTAGTCTACGAATTCTACGACGATCTAATCGTATTTTGAATACAGAAAAAAAAAGTAACAGTGGTGTTTCACATGAAAAGAATACTCCAAGAAAAGTTTTTAGAAAGAGAATATTACCTATACAGGCCGCAGAGAAAAAGGTACGGTCGAATTCTGAAGAAAGATTTTAAATATTTAACGTATTTTCTCAGAATGCTGGTGATATTTTTGTCATCCAGTTTTTCTAAGTTTTTTTTTACCTTTTGTAGGTTTTTTATTTAGGTACACTAATTTGTACCTAAAAGCGACACTACAATGGATACGTTTTCCGGGCTTGCTCGCATTTTTCATTTGAAAATATTTCTTGTTTTGTGCCAGGAAAAGAACTGTGTAAAAAATTCTAGAATTTTCCTGTGATTTTAGTTCGGATCTAGTGTTTATGTAGTTTGCATAGACAACACGACTACTTTATTTTTTTAAACTTAATGTATCGCGTTAATAGTGCTTATTTATTTCTAAAACGTTATTGGTTGACATTTTCAATACTTAATAAGATTTTTTTGATTTCTTTACATTCTTTACATAAAACAAGAAAACGTTTCCTGTTTTTTTAAATGATTTCATCCTTTGTCATTTTTTTTTTATTTCAATTAAACCATAATTTGGTACTTTCGAAACGTCAACAAATACAAAATAAATAATGGTCTGTCAGTCAGCCCGTCAGTGAAGCTATGTAGATGAACGAGCAAGAAACTCCATTCGTTACTCTTTTTTTAAAAAGTACGGATTTCTAGATCTTTATTTCCTAGTTCCGAGTTAGGAAGACAATTTCGCAGAATATGACGAGACAGTCTGAGACGTTACGCTCAGTATTGAACGACGAATAATGTGGCCGCTGTTTTATATCTTTTTAGTAATAATGTGCTTCGATGCAAAAAGGAGAAGTGGTGCAAACAGGTGACAGTTTGGTACCCAAAGGACCATCCCGTCAGGAGCAGAGGACGGATAGCAAGACCATGGGAGGATGATATGAAACTCACTAGGAGCTCACTGGATTAGAGTAGCAGCAGATAGGAAACAGTGGAAAGCGCTGAAGGAGGCCTTTGCAGTAAAGCACACCAAAATCAGAGACATACTGTGCATGCATGTAATCAGTGCCTTTAGCCAAACGCCACATAAGCGCTTGTCTACAGAGACAGTAGAAATCAAAATGTATGGGGATGACACTGACAAGTGTCAAAATATACGTCAATTCCATCTAATTTGGTTTTCTATTCTACATGTAGACAAGCGCTAAATGGCATTTGGCTACAGCAGCAGTACTTATAAGTTTTATTTTGTAATTAGTTTTCAGTTTTCGGAAATAAAAGGCTATATTATCATTATTAAGTAATAATGTAAGTTTATGATGCGGATAAATAAATAAGCAAAACTTACCGACAACAGTAAGATTGATGCCGACATTTCTGGTGGGTGATAGTCGGAAGTCGACCCTACAGTGGTACATAGCCTGGTCGTCTTCTGACAGCGAGGCTATCGTGACAGAAGTTGGCTGGCTGATGATGTCTGCCCGAAGTCTGGCGGTCGTGTTGAAAGATGGCTCCGACCATTGCTTGTCCGGGACTTCGAAGCTGGAAAGATTTATAATTTAGAATCGGTGTTTTTTGTAAATGGTAGTTTAAAGTTGTGTGGCTTATAGTTCATTTTTCAATGCTAAGTGCTGCTAAGTGTAATCTAATTCATTATTTTTTCTTTTTTCAACGGATGTTATGAATCGGTATATAGCATTCTCATTAGCAAATACCACGAATACAAAATAATAGATTCAAACATAAAATTTAGCACAAATTAGAAGACCAAATTTACGACTCCTCATTCGACATGATGGCGATAGCCAAACTCAGCTAATGACTCAGTCAAATGTGTAAGTGTACAAATTCGTGTATAAAACTAAACTTTACACTGTTATTTAATTCATAAGATCGATTTTCAAATGTTTCTATAAATATCAGTATAAATACAGGTGTCATATCGCAAATATAACCACTCAAGCACTTCTGTTATTGTCATAATTCTTCAGCATGTTTACTTTGATCTTGTAGAAAACATACTTATTTATATTTATTTAATTCCTAGTGTGTAGGTAGAGGCAGGAAGCCTATTTTATACAGAGCCGCAGAGGACTTAACGTTACGAGGGTTACGCGAGATCCGACTCGAAGTGTAGGAGTAGGAACGGGGTGGGTTTTAGTCAGTAAGAGTCTGACACTCCTTCTCGCCTCATACAGGCGGCAGGAGACATCGGATGATTTTCCTACCTCAAAAAAAGCTTGGCTGTTCTGTGGCTTTCAATTCGAAAGGTTGATGTGAACTCGATCGCGGGGTGGCATGTCATTGATTGTTAGAGTAATCTCGATAATACGATCAAGAATACGATCAAGCTTAATTTGAAACTACAGAATACAGAGTTACAGAATAGCTTAGCAGATATGAAATGTTTGTTTGATAATGCATTAAAGGTCTCTCTACACAGGGGGCGCGGCGCGGCGAGACGGGACGGCGACGCGACACTGAGCAGTTGTAATGGACTAGATGTTACGGACGACGCCACACAGAACCGTCCCGCTCGACGCGACGGTAACCGACGGATCTGTTCACAAGTGTACAACAGTGTCGCGTCGCCGTCCCGTCCCGCTGCACCGCGCCCGAGACCTTTATTTCTGTCCCCTTGTAAGAGACACTATTATTAGATATTAGAAATTATTCTTGACCTCGGAAGACAAATTCACAAACTAAGAAGTTATTGAGAACAGCCGTGAAAGGACTTTTTGATACCTCCTATATCCATATTCTGAGAAAAGGCATTTTCTACTTTATGTCAAAATGAATACAGTGTTTTATCTTATGAAACTTCGCTTATGAAACTTCAACAATGCTAGTTTTTAAACAACTTAAGTCATACAATCGGTCTTTCGTTACTCGTTTTTATTTTTTCACAAGGCATTCTCGCTATTCCGGGCTTAGTACTTTTCCTATTTTTATTTCGTTCCGATTTTCAGTTTATTTGCGATTCTGCTTAGTTTCTGTGTTGAATAAATACTCTTTGCTGTGATTGTTTGTGGGGTTTGAGCCGTGGGTGGAAAGTTCGTTGATCTGTTGGCTTATTGTTAATTTATTTTGCCAAGTGGCGGCGCTAGTGTGCCGAATAAGGCGATGGACCACTCCTCGCTGTTTAATAGTGGTCGTAAACCGAGCTGGGTGAAAGAGGTTTTGTAATTTGAATAAAGAGGTAGAGGTAGCCGGCGTGTTTATGTCGTTGGCTAATCAATCTACGTATTTTGCAATTCTTATTCGGGTTTCTTTTTTAGTTAATTTGATCACAATGTAAACTAACAGAAAATGTGTGTGTTGTGGGCATTTAACTGTTAGTAAATTATTTTTGACTGCATTGTTGAGTATGAAATTCGGTTCCTCAATCCGCAAAAACATATTTCTTGTCTATTTATAACCGACTTCATTTAATTTTGGCATTACGTCTCTAATGCTGTGTTATATTCAACTTGTAGAGGTACAGTATGTACACTTTTTTAAAGGGGCGAAAATTATCGAATGTCTGCTCCCGCCTGGGTGAGGCGGGAGGGAGTGTCAGACTCTTACTGACTAAAAACAACCCGTTCCTACTCCTGCACTTCGAGTCGGAGCCCCGGTTACCCGTAGGTTCTCCGCAACTCAGTATGTATGTACATTTGTATTTGCTTCTTCTTTTGCTGAGTGAAAATTATACCTAAGTTTATATAGAGGCTATTGAATAAACTACTATATGCACGTGGGAAACTCGATAGTTACTATTAAATAACATAACATTCTACATCCATCACATAAAGGTAAACTTAATGTTACATAGTATATGTAAATCCTGCTGGCCTTTAGGAGATGATTGATGACGAAGCGCTATGTATACTTAAACCTAAGTAAGTGGTCTAAACTCCGGGACTAGGCTAGTAATTGTGTCTAATGCGTACTAATCAACTAATTATGTCCACATTAGACTACGAACTATTGTGTAGACTGTTCAATTAGTAGAGTGGTGAGTTGAATTCCCAGGTTGGGCAAAGTGGTACCTATAGTAATAGCTAATTTCAGAATTCGCACGGTACTACAGCACGGTTTGATTTCGTTACGGTTTACAGACTCTGGCGTCGAAAACTGCTTACCTATGTGATTCACAAACATCTGCAAATCACCTATGATGACTATGTCGTTTCAATTAGAGTTAGACCCTGATACATTGTGTAAAGAGCTTGTGACAAAATTCTACCTCTAGTAAGCAAATCGATACAGATGGATAAGGAGTTTTCAAACCGCTCCGTAAGTAACATAGTTTTTAACTGGAACTGGGAAGTGCTAATTATAATTGACTGCACCGTTCTTGGTGCGGTGGCTGGGCAAGTGGCTGCCGCGCAACGTATAGCGGTTTCGATTCCCGCAAGGAGCAACTCTTTGTGTGATCCGCAAATTGTTGTTTCGGGTCTGGGTGTCATGGGTGTATGTTTGTAAACACACCCATGACACAGGAGAAAATCATAGTGTTAAAAAAATAGTTTTACCTGTATATGGGCATATTATTCTTGTACCACACAAGGATCATGAACTCGTCGTCGGAGGAGTCAGGCGTGGAGTCGCAGAGCAGGGTGACATCACCTCCCTCCAGAGCCTCTACGTTGGATACGGGACCTGAGGGAAAAACACATAATTCAATATACTATGTAGAAGTATACTCGTAGTCGTGTAGGATATATTTTAATTATAACAATTTGATCTATTTGGGAATAGTGTACTGAATACCACTCCATCTATGTACTAGGTCATAAGCTGGTTTTGGGCTATTACGAAGAAATTTCGAAAAACCCAAAAGTCTCAGTTATAGTTTCTACGACGGAGATGAGGGAATCGAATCTGAGAGCCTATGCTCGATAGTCATACTAGCGACCTCTCGACCAATGAGGTAATCAATAAAATAGAAGTTCGACTTAAATGGCCTTCTTTCGAACCACTATATAGATAAAGGGAATTTATTCTGCTTATCTGTTATCATAAGGGACTGAAATATAGCCAGCATAGTATATTAGTTTTAGATGGTAAAACTCTACCTTTGAATTTACTTCTTACAGGAACATTGTTTTTGCCAAAAATAGTGAAGATTTTGACCTCGTAAGAGTCTTTTGTAAGTCCATCTAGATAGACAAGCGATGACCTCTCAAAGGTGACTTATCAAACAACCAATAAATAACATAATAGAAAGATTCCACGTATTTGTACTAAGGTATTAAGAATTTAAACTAGACAATAACGTTCTAAGCCTATAAATCTAAGCAAGTAAGACATAACAGACCTGAATTGTGTTGACAAGAACAAGATATATTGTCCAATAAATCTGCTACAGTACCTACGCACTGCTCAAATGGTTAGATTTATTTTGAACCAAACGAAATTTTCTGTTGTTCGTTTATCAGAATTTCGCGCGGTTCTAAGCTGTCAACCGATAAGGGCGCCCAAATGGGACTCGAAACTTGGAAAGTAAGGGACGGCTGCAAAAGTTGGCACTCGATCTTCTTGCAAACATTTATCTTTTTCACCTTCGCTTTTAGCGAGTGAAACAATATTTCGTGTCAGAATCAAAGTTCATTATGTTGAGATAGGTAAATTATGGATTTAGTTTGTTACCGTCATTTAAGAAATATTGTACGGTTATTTTTTTGTTAAAATTAATGTTAACTTCGGTATTATTACACCTCTATCTACGTTTTATAGGCTTTATGTAAGGCCTACTTTTTGTTTTCTTAATCCCCGCTTATACAAACTTAATGCCTTTTTGCAATCAGTAGTTTTCATTTTAAGTGGTCACTTAATTAAGTAATCAAGTCATCGCACATCTAACAAGCTCACGAGTCCGGCACGGCTTCAATGCAGCAAATTCCTTGCCATTTATATATGAACTTTAAATCGTATGTCATATTTCATAACGTCAAAATAAAAAAGCTGTAAGCGTAACCTTTTATATCGTTTCCAAAGCAAAAAACGCCTTACCAGAGCCATGCTGGAGCCGTACTTGAGCCGTGCCGGAGCCGTGCTTATTAGGTGCGATGACCTTAAGTTCTACTATTACTAGTATAATGATACAATATTTAATAAATCACTAATCTTACCATCCACGCCAGGTATAAAAGCATAGCCACCGGTACAGATGAGAAGGAATATGTATATCGGCGCCGGAGTGAGGCGCATTCTACGGCCCATCCATGCTCCCGCGCTGCTCGCTCATTGGTCGAGGGAAGCGCTGGCCATGCGCAGTCGTCACGATTTATATGACGTCATCTTTGGGAACATCTACTCATTTGCAGAGAATATCTGTAACAAAGCAGAAAATTTTGTTCATAAATCGATCTTTAATGCCAAAATTCGGTTGTTTTTAACGACGCATGTCATAGATAGCTGTCATAGATAGTAGTGAAAAAAAAAGACAAATGTTAATAAAAAAAAATTGCATTATTAATCAAATGCAATTGCTAAATCTTTTCTAATCTTAGTATTTAGAAACTATTAAATCTTTTAAAATAGGTAAAGGTAAAGGCTTTTAAAATTTAACTGTCCCCGACATAATTATTACATTTGTGCAATTAATAAGCAGGCAGAATAGTGACTATATGGAGTCCATGCCAGAAAATTAAAAAAACCCTTCCCGCCATTTTAACACCGACCACAGACACACAAATTATACACGTGTGGCAAAAACGTATAAATTCAACATTAATAACTAAACTAATAAAAATGGCGGCCAGGTTGGGCTGGCTTCACGTGACAAACTCAGTTGTCCGTCGAATTTTAGTTCATATCAAATGCAAAAGTTTGTTTTCCAACAAGCGAGGTTTTGGTGAAATGTGACATTTGTATGACAGAATCATAAAAGCATAGTTTGTGTGAATAAGTTTGTAATACCGTAGTACGGTGGTTGTGAGTTGTTTCCCCTTATTTTTGATAAAAAACTTTGTTTGGTTAACTTTGGTAATGATGGGCCGATGTAGCTTGATGTATTCTGGTCGTAATTGGCTCTGAGTTGGGAAAAACTCGGTCGGAAAGGTTTTAACTGTTTCGTTGTACAAATTGTATTAGAGGTGTGGTTGAAGAGGATTTTAGATTCTATTATTATCAAGAGTTCTTCTTCTTCTTAGTCGATTCCCTTATTGCTGAGGATCGTGACTTCCTCTGGTTTTGTTTACTAGATGTCGCCACTTGTCTCGTTGCTTGATGCACAATTTTTTTTGTTTTGTTTTTTTTTAAAACGTCGCCGCGCACTACGATTATCTCCTGTGTCGTGGGTGCGTTTACAAACATACAAGTTCACATACACAGACACCCAGACCCCGAAACAACAATTTGTAGATCACACAAAGTGTTGTTCCGTGCGGGAATCGAACCCGCGACACGTTGCACGGCAGCCGGTTGCCCAGCCACCGCACAAACCGTGCAGTTATTATCCGTACATTTATAGGTATCTCTTGCTACTTGGATATTTTGGTCAGAGCACCTTATGGGACTCCGGTCTCTCGGTCTCTTTCCTTCTACTTTACCGGTCCCTATGAGGCGTTCCAAATTACTAGGATCTCTGCAAGGAATATGGCCAAAGTATCGCACGATCCTTTGCAAGCAGACTGTGGACAAGCGTTGGATTTTGTGACTTTTTAGGTCGTTACAATAGAAACGTATATTAAGGGTTAAAGTGGTTATTGTTGTACATTGGATCCCCGCACGTTTAATCCCCTAAAAGATACCATGTTTTTGCAGTTGCTATACATGTGAAAACTGAAGTGAACCTTCCGCAATCTTTTCCTTGTTAGTCATAGGTACTGACACCTATTCAAACCGCAAAGTAGTATTTCTTGACAAAAGATTCAATATGGTTTATTCATTCACCACCTTTTCTGGTGGCAAGTACACACTCAATTACAATTGACATGATTATAAACCGTAATGCCCAGAATTAATAATGAATTGACCAAATTTATTGCGGACGCATTCGTGAATTCGAATTAACCGAAATAGTCTAGGTTCGGCTACGCTTGTTGCGGTCATTGCATGGATGGGTGACCACAGCAACCACATTGCGTGTATCGTAGAGTTTCATCAGCTATATTATATTACAACGATTTACCAGATCATAGGGTTAAAAGAGGTTTTTATTAAATTCAGTTTCATTTAAGCGTTCAATGTTATTAAAGGAACAGGTTTCAGCGTATTTGTAATACTTTGAGTGTGAGAGAGCCATGCTTCGGCACGAATGGGCCCGCTCGACCGGAGTGATACCACGGCCTCACAGAAGACCGACGTGAAACAACTAGCTAGCTAGCGTTGTGTTTTGTCGTGTGAGTGAGGTTCCCGGTGGCCCAATCACCCCCTCCCCCTCCCCAATCTCCCCAATCCCCGAATCCCCAACCATCCTCAAACTCCTAATCCCGGTGTTCCAGGCGTCCATGGATGACGCCGAATGCTCCACAGATATATTAATTCTGTGGTCTGCTCGTTTACCGGCTTATGCCATAAAAAAAACTAGCTTCTGCCAGCGGTTTTGTCGGCGGCCCCGTGGGATAATAGTAGCCTACCTATGTCATATTCCAGACCGTAATCAACCTCTATTCCAAATTTCATTTCGAACTCTACAGCCATTTTGACGCGATTGAGTTACAAACATACACACAATTCGAATTTATAAATAATATAATATAAATTTTGTTCATTAAATGAAAACGTGAGATGTAATAACAGATTCTGTATTATTACTGAAAACTAGATACTTTCATTCTATTCGATCCCGAAATCAAATTCAAAATAATTCACATTTACCTTACATAAGACAAATAACTAATAACGTCAATTACGGTCAATTACCAAAACTGTCGATTAAACAATTTACAGATTATTGACAAAAACAGAGAGGTGGCAAAATTAAAGGCCTCAATAAAAATATTAATTGATTTATTAAGTGTGGCAAACCAGTTATAGGTGCGGCCATTTTAAGGCGGGAAATGTTTGACAGTTGACACTTGACGCGCTAAAAAACAGGGTCGACGACCTGTGAATTGAAAACTTATATGAAGAATGTTTATTTAGTTGTTAGACAAATAATGTTGTTAAATGAAATAAAAACTAATTGCTTGAACATTACAATTCGTGTTTGTTATGTGCTTGAGATGTGAGCATGCATGAAGAGATTCATTAATATGGAAAAAGCTAAGATTTGTGGTGGAATCGGTGTATTGTATATCTATATCTGACCTATTTGTAGACTTGTTACTGTGAAGAGATTACGTTTTTATAAACGTACCTGTGTATGCAATGAATGTTTAATAATTTGGTTATTATTGCAGAAATTGGAGCAGCATTTTAAATTTTTTATACAAATTATCGTTTGCTATTTGCCCAAGACCCAATAAACTTAATGGGCAACCGGCTTATTGCCATTTATTGGAACCATTCCAATTTGGAACCGTTGATATTCTTTTGTTTTTATTATTTGAATTGTCTGTTTGTTGTGGACTCTTCTAATAAAGGCGAGAACAGATGAGCGACTCATTAGGAGCGATGAAATGCCTCCGTGCGTGTGTTGTTAGCCTGTCATCGGCCTTTATCATCCTCATTAGTGACGCTAAATTAGATACTTATTTTTACCATCATAAATCAAAGAACATTGTCGACGAACGAAAATGTTTTAAATGTTAAAAGTAATTCGTATTATTGATTCATGAGATAGTGATGTCACGACCTATTATTGTCTGTGAAACAATGCATTAACATAATCTGATAGATTTAGATAGGCACGTGGCCGTATTTATGGGCTTATCAACACTAATTTTTAATTTCTGCATACAATGGAACGGTCGTATCAAGATGAGAGGATTGGAATCTGTGTCGTGTGCCGAGTGAGAGGCTTATAAGTAGTTGTAATGTTGTTATAGTGAATGTATTACTGTTTATAACTGATAAATGGTAACCGAGAATGCCATTTTTTATTATTTTTATAGTTTGTTACGTATCAAACTGTCAAACACCAAGCGGTCACCGGTGACCGCATCCTATTGTTCTTGTGTCTATAATGACGGTTCTCAACGAGTTAAGCTTCACATAATTTTGCGTCGTAGAAGCATTTGCAAGCTAAAATTGTATGTGTAAGCTTTACTTACACTCGTAAAAATAATTGTAGACCAAATAAGTCATAAATTGTCGTGGTGGCCCGGTGGTTAAGATGACCACTTCTCATTCATGAGAGTGCACATTCGAAACCTACCAACGGCAACCACTACCTACTACTAAACCAATGTGACTTTTCCTAGTTACAATTATGTACTTTTTAAGATACTTTAGGTAGGTACCACTGATAAATAGTAAAAGAAAACATCGTGAGGACACCTGGGCTTATAATCATAAGACTGAAATCGCCAACCCGCAATGAGCAAGTGTGGTGATTAATGCCTCTTCTCTGTGTGAAAAGAGGCTTTGTTCAGCAGTAGCCACTTAAAGGCTGTTGATGTAAGTCATAAAGTAACTGATCTGGCTAGTTTTTTTGAGAGTAGCCTCTGCGACGAATGCAAAATACGTCCATAGAATAATGATTATTATGAACTTATTGCATACGAATCAATGTCCCTTGCATCTATTTCATTGCTCCGTATCAAAGCCTATAGGTATTGATAAAGGTGCTTGAGAATATAAAAAGCCCTAGTTGACAATGCCAATTTCTAAGTAAAAATATCCGGATTGGCATGAGTGATATTTATGTAAATGAAATTCGTAAATCCCTCTTGTGGGCTCAGTGAGGCGTTTAGCTTTCCACCCGTGTAGGTAGATATTGGTGGAGGTGACACCGTAGCGTATCTTTATGGTTCTAACACTGTGGTGTAAAAATGAGGTTTTCATATGAAATAAATATTGTGTCTCCAAATAATTTGTTTAGGATAACAATAGAGAAGACAGAGAAGTTCACTCGTCGATGTTCTTTTTTTTATTTCAATATCAGAGCATTTTGGTGTCGCACCTGGGTTTGTAAGTAGTTATTTGCCCGGTTTTTAATAATATTATTATTGAAAAAATTGAGAAGAACAGAAGTCCTCGAATTTTAGGTGCCAATTTACATTGTCAGCTGCTATTAAGACATGAACAATGCCTTACCGGTTTTTCAACTGTAAGTTACAGTGTAACCTCCACCCTTTATACAGGGTGTACCTGCCTAGATTCGGACTACAACGGAACCCTTATTCATGAGCTCTTCACACGTCGAGGTCATGAGCCCAAATTATGCTTCAACAGAGCCGTACGTATAAAAATGTACGTCATTCAAAAAAGTGATTATGTAAAAA